TGAAATATTTTTTTGATGACAATAATATAGGAAGGTGAAAAAAAAAATAGATGTAAGGAGACACGAATGTGTATCAGAAGATGACGAAATCAATGTTCAATGAAAACGTGTTCGAAAAGAATTTGACTATATTTCAAAAAGATATATGCACAAGACCAACATATAATCTTTTAGATCGCAGTTACTGTTTGAAATAAGTTAATTTTTCATAAAATACACGACATGGATTATTGGACCGGGTAATCATGTTTAAAGTCGAGCTAAGTCATTTCACCATGTAAACATTATATGTGAAATAGGATAAGGGCATTCATGACTGAATCAAACATGATCTTATCAGACTCTTCACTTGCTTTGATGGATAAAGCGTTATCCCCAAACTCATTGTAATATCATGAGTATTTTGTTCATGCATTTGAAAGAAAACGATAGTTTATACTTGACACATTTGCATTTAACGTGGGATTGCGTTATGTTCACATCCGCATATAATAAATTTTACTATTGAGTCAATAATCAACATTAAAACTTATTGGGAGATGTCCTTATAATATTTGAATATGAAAAAAAAAATTCTCCGTGATAAGGAATCATGGAATGGTCACCAAGGCCGTTTCCTCTTCCCACAAAGTTCAAAATTTACTTTGGTTACCATGTGACACTTAGTGTTTCGTTTCTTTTCAAATAAAAAATATTCTCGGCAATATTTTGTTGTATATCGCTTGATAAAAAAATGATTATATCTATATCCAATAATTTGTATTATTAACTGTATAAATCTAGTTTAACCAATTTGTCTCTTCTGTCCAATTTTAGGATCATCTTTCCGTCCCCTCTGGATCTTTCTTTTCAGTCATCTTTCAATCGTTTCCACACAAACACTTAGTTTTTCTTCTGCCTCTCTCCTAAATTTTTCTACTTAAACGTATTAATACATTGCGAACCATTCATGTTCGACTTTGTATCACCATTTCCCATTTTTCTTCATTTGAACGTTGGAGAGTCGTCGAAAAACACCTCCCAATCGTGTTTTTCTGATCTTTACGTGTTGGTTAATTAGGCAAGAGTTTGTGCTCCTAGTGGTTGTTCAAAAGGACTAAAAACCCTCGAATCAGTTATTATAAATTAAAATTTATGTTTGACAACTTATCCCAAAATTTAAATTTACAATAAAAAACACAATATTATATTTTGTGAAAATCTGCATTTATAGTGTTTTCTTATTGTGCCATAATTTTTTTTACTATAATCTTATAATATCTATAAAATTCATTAAATATTTTTATTTGCAAAAAAAGAAACAAAATGACTAATTAATTTAGTGACACAAAATTTTGATGAATGATAAAATATTTGACAAGTCATCCTTCTATATCCCTGATTTCTACTGTTTATATACAACACTTTTTAAATGACCTCTTTATTCTTTTTTTGTCGATATC